AAAAAAAAAAAAATTAGTAACATGGGCCGGCGCGGTGGCTCATGCCTGTAATCCCACCACTGTGGGAGGCCAAAGCGGGTGGATCACGAGGTCAGGAGTTCCAGACCAGCCTGGCCAACATGGTGAAACCCCATCTCTACCAAAAATACAAAAAAATTAGCCGGGCACGGTCATGGGCGCCTGTAATCCTAGCTACTTGGGAGGCTGAGGCAGGAGAATTGCTTGAAGTGGGAAGGCAGACATTGCAGTGGGCCGAGACCGGGCCACTCTGCACTCCAGCCTGAGGGACAGAGCAAGACTCGGTCTCAAAATAAATAAATAAATAAATCAGTAACAAGATGACAACCCAATTAAAAAAAAAGGAAAAATATTTGAAAGACATCTTACAAAAGATCTATGGATAGTCAATAAGCACATGAAAAGATGCTTCGTATCATCAGTCATTAGGGAAATGCAAATGAAAGCTGTAATAAGATACCACTTAAAATCCAGCCAAATGAATAAGACAGATCATAAGGAGTGTTGGTGAGGATGTGGACAAATTGGAGCCCTCATACACTCTGGTGGAAATGTAAAGTGGGAATTCACCTTGGAAAGCAGTTGTACAACACCTCAAAAAGTTACACATACAGAGTTACCATATGACAGTAATTCCACTCATAGATATACACCCAGGAAAACTGAAAACACATGTTCATACAAAAACTTGTACCCATCTTCATAGCAGCATTATTCATAATGGCTAAATACTGTACTGTATTTACTGTAATACAATTACAATTAGTACAATTAAACACTATCATTAAATACTGGAAGAAATCCAAATGTCTGTTAACTGGTACTGTTAAATAAATAAAATGTGGTCTTGCCATCGAGTGGATTATTACCTAGCAACAAAAAGGAATGAAGTAATGAGACATACTACAACATGGATGAACCTCAAAAACATTATGCTAAGTAAAAGAAACCAGATGCAAAGGATCACATATTGTGTAATTCCATTTACATGCCCAGAAAAGGTAAATTTATAGACAGAAAGTTTTTTAGTGAGTGGGGCTGGGGATAGGAAACCAGGACTTGCCTGCAAATGGGCACAAAGTATTTTTTTAGGAAGATGAAAATTTTCTGAAATTGGAATGTGGTGATGGTTGTACAACTCTATTATATTTTCTAAAACAATCATTGAGTTATATCCTTAAATGAACCTTATAATATATAAATTATACTTCATTAAAGCTGGTAAAAAATAGCTATGAAACCGCAATGCAGTTTCATGTGTAATTCTGGTTTTTATACATCTTATGACAAGACTTTTATAAAGATGGGGCAACCATGATTCCCCAAGACAATGTGGCAGAGGTCCCCAAAAATCTTAAGAAGTAAACTCAATGCTTTCGAAGACTACAAAGAAATGCATCAAAATTTATATTATTCAGCAATGATAAGGTAAATGTATTTGGGTAAGCAGCAGGGTTACTCATCTGTGTGCCAGTATTTACAGTATGAGGCCCCTTAGCTTCTGGTCTCTGTTCTTGTAGTCATCTTAAATTGCACTGTCAGTTTTATCGTCTTCAAATATTACTTTCATAAGGTGTGCCTCCTGTTCCAGACACAGGACCAAAACCCTTGATTTTGGGAATTCTAGCTTTTCATTTTTCTCATGCTGTTTTTATAAATTTTTAACCAAAGTTTCCAAATGAACCTTCTACTGCAGTCAGAGCCAGCTCTTCCTCGGGCTGCACATACTTGCTAACAACTCACTCACTAGTAGGGATGCCACTTCCCTTCTTTCCTCTCTGAAATTCTGCCCATTGCTCAGGCCCAAATTGAGTCTTACCCATACTGTGAAGCCTTCTCTGAATAATTCATCTCACATTGAGCTGAGCTCCTGAAGTATCTGTGCTCTACAACAGTCATCTGGGCATTAAGAACTGTTCAGAAGTTTTAGTTTAAATGTTCTGAGCCTCATTTGTCCCTGTTCTTGAGGGGCTGGATTTTATTACTTTATATTCCCCTATATAGATTAACAGAAGCAACTCAAGAAATAGTTATTCATGTTTATCTATGTTTCCTTGATAAATTCTCTTTTATATTTGTTTTAATTTAAAATGCCATTTTTCGGGGCCGGGCGCGGTGGCTCAAGCCTGTAATCCCAGCACTTTGGGAGGCCGAGACGGGTGGATCACGAGGTCAGGAGATCGAGACCATCCTGGCTTACACGGTGAAACCCCGTCTCTACTAAAAAAAAAAAAATACAAAAACTAGCCGGGTGAGTTGGCGGGCGCCTATAGTGCCAGCTACTCGGGAGGCTGAGGCAGGAGAATGGCGTAAACCCGGGAGGCAGAGCTTGCAGTGAGCTGAGATCTGGCCACTGCACTCCAGCCCTGGCGACAGAGCGAGACTCCGTCTCAAAAAAAAAAAAAAAAAAAAATGCCATTTTTGAAAATACGATGCTAGATTTCTTTTTTGAGAATTTATCCTTACATGCTGATTCTGCTTCAGGTATCTATAGTATGTTTTATTTAGCCATTAGCAGATCTGTCCCTGGATTCCCTAATCCACAGATATACACAAAATTTGGGTTCAAGCAATTCTATTTTTCTCTTATATCTTTTAATAGATGTATTATCTATTATGCCAGGTATGACAATATACAAAAAAAAATTCATTTAAAAATTACAATATTACTAAATGTCCTTCTAAATCCACATTTAAGCAACAAAAACGAAGCACAGATTCTTAAAGTAGAAAATGATCTATAGTTAATCTTACTATCTTGCCTCCTTTACTTTTCAAAAATCCACTGATAATCTGGGCATGATGCTTTCAAACCTTACCCTAAAGAGAAAAATACTCTCGGAACACTTCTTCCTGCTATCTTTAAATTGTACTTGTATTTTTCTCTGCTTTTCTTTTGACACTCAATCACTCCTTTAAAACTTGTAAAAACAACAACAACAACAACAAAAAACAAAAACAAAACCGTAAAAGTTTCTGTAACTCTCCAATCTCCAACTATGTCGTAAAATCCTTTGCCGGTTTACCCAGTCAGCTGGGGAGGCTCACCGTTTCTTTTTCGAGCGAATGACACAGTTGTCTTGGCAGCGTGACTTGCCCTTTTGGTTCCTGCTTTATCAGTTTGGTGATTCTTTGTACAGATTGATAACCATGAAAAAGTCTAAAGTAGGGCAGTTCCGGAGCAGCTTTTTCCCGTAAAGCAAGGGGGTACCTCACAAAACTCCAGGCAAAAGAATGAATGATAGGGCACTCACCAATAGCGAGTGGAGAAGAGTATTTTGTCGAAGTTTGCAAACCAATCCTTGGGAGCCAGAGGTGGGAATTTTAAAATGAGGTCTTTTCCTTGGAATTTGCTTAAAGGGGTATCGCTGCCTGTTGCTATTGAAGTTTGTCAAAGAATGTAAAATCACCAGCTTAGAGAATTTTTTCCCCCTTCAAGAGAGACAAAACGTGCAAATTGATTCTCTGCAAATTGGGAGAACTTCTAAGAGTGGGGTCATAGGATACTCTCACATATAATCACTTGGTAACTTTTGTGTCAATTTGGGGAGGAGGTGAAAGTAATTTTAACATGATTCATTTTTCATGATCAAATATCAGATACTAAATTAATGCATTGAAAAACGGTATTCCCCTTTTTTAAAAAAAGAAATGAAAACTAAGAGGCTAACATTATTTTGAAAAAACTGTTCTATTGTTAATCTTCTTTCTTTTTTGGGGGGTGTACCTCTTCATATATTAGCAGCAAGTCTTATTATTTGGGTTGACCACAAAAGTATCTTTGTTTTTACACAAAATGTGGATTTCCTCATTTTAAGACCAGCAAAAAATTTGAGTGCCACGAATTCTTAGGTATTATGAAACTATCTTAGAAATACATGACATATACTGTGCTCTATACCTGAGTAGCTCTTGAAGACCAAATTTAACAGATAACTGATAAATATTTTATTATAACTCATACCTTGTTTTGAAACCAATGTTTTTTATTTAATGTAACTCTGCTTTCTAGGTTATTCATCTCTAAGAGTAATTAAGTCAGCCACTGTAAAACTGCTTCATTATAAAGTTAAGTTTCCTTGACAAAGAGCCTCGCAAATTGACAGGCTTTTCACGGAACAAAAATCATCAGCGATTGTAGTAGAGGAAAATACTTTAAAACCTTCATTTCAGAAGGAAATTTGTCATATTGAAACACTTTAAAAAGTGTCTCTTAAAAATGTTTCCGAACTATGCTTCCAAGCATTTTTAACAGCATAAAACTCTTTCTTTGATGCTATTTCGCTGACATAATTTTTGTCTTGAAGAAATACATGACAGCCTACTCAGTCATGCTAGGAACTGTCATTGTATTTAACTCTCTAAATTGTTCCTGTCCTTTGTAGCAATCTTTTCTCACAATAAACCTTGGGTGCTTGAAGGGCAGAGACTAGGTTACCTCCTCCTCATCTTTGTTATCTACCAGTGCGCAGTGACCCCTTAAATCTAGTGCTTAAGACTCACTACTTGCTAACATTGGTTTCGTTACATAAACTCACTGGCCTGTTTTTCAACCGTCAGACTGGTGCTGTTAGTCCCTGTGTCACGGGATTGCTGTCAAGGGTTCAACGAGATAATCTATAAACAGCTCTTAGAATGAACGCTCAACGTGGGATCATTGCTGTAATCCCTCAACGTGTGCTACTGAATGAGAGGCCGAGTGACTGAATGAATGTATGAATGAAGGAACAGGCCAGTAACTGGCGGCTCCCGAGGATGGAGCCGGCTAAATTACCCCTTCAAAACGCTAAACAAAAAGCCACTCCGTGGACATCAAACCCCACGCCGGAGCCGGAAGCAAGAGTAGAGCTGCGGGCGGGGCCAGAATAGAGGAAGTCGCGCTCTCGGCCAATAGACATATCGTTTGGCAAACGAACATTTTCCCACACCTATCGTGAAAGCGCGAGAACACAGGGGGTTATCGCGAGGTTCCCTGCTCCTCTCCCGCTCCCTCTTCTCCAGCTCCCTGTAGCGCGGGTTCCGCTCCGCCCCCGGAGCCCCGCCCCCGACGCCCGGCGCTCCGCCCCGCCCCCGCCCGGCTCCCTGCCCCGCCCCGCCCGCCGTCCCCCGCTTGCCTTCCAGCGCCGCTTGCGCTCCGGAGCGCTGGCTCTGCTGGCGCTAAGGTGAGTAGAGCTGTCCGCCTCGTCGGGTGGTTCAAGTGGCAGGGCTCTCTGACCTGGCCCCCGGGGGGGACGCCCCAGACTTGGTCCTGCCAAAGCGTCCGGGTCGCGGCGAGTGGGACAGCGGGGCCGTCCGGGCCTCGGGTGGCCACAGCTGCTGGGTCCTTCTCGCACTCTGCGGCCCGCGGCCCCTTGGACCTGAGAACCCTGATACCGGGTCCGTGAAATCCCTGCTGCTGGGCTCACTGCTTCCCAACTGTAACGATCTCAGTGGCTGGCTAACTCGGGCGAAACGGCGTGTGTTTTGCCTAAGACTCTGCCAGTGTTTATTACCACTGAGCTGAGAAAATAGCCTTTTACAAATGCTTTTAATATGTAGCTTATAGTTCTCTCATCTCCAGCGTTAGGAAATTGGAATGCGTATTCTAGTAAATTGAGTACGGGCAAGTCAGTCTAAGGGACTCCTTTCTTTCAAAATATTCCTTAATATGTGTGGAATTTTGTTGAGAGGTTTTTGATTTTTTTGTTTTGTTTTTAATAAGATAGATTGGTGTTCACCTGTCAGGAAGCTCGTGTGTAGGTGCAGCTGTATACAGCTGATATTAAGTAATACTATTTGCCTTAACTACGTGTAAGAGGTAGTATAACTATACAAGAGGTAGTTTGCTTAACTAGGTTAAGATGTAGTAAAGTGAAATGGAGTAAGAAAATTACCTTGTTAAAGGCTGTGTAAGACCCGTGAATGCATACTGCAAAACTATGAGCATTGTTGATGCTTTATTGTCATTATTGGCAGTTTTAGGATTTCATTTGTTTAGATTTTATCTCCCAAACAGCCTTTGTAGCAATTTTAACAGAGTTTAATGGTGTTTTTGAGGCAGCCAATCCCAGCTAGAACATTCAGAAGGAAAGCCATCAGGTTACAGGGAATCTCTTACTGAATCTTGCCTCAGTGAGTGTGGTTTTGCATTGTAGGGCGGCGGTGCACAGGCTTTGCAGTCAGTTCACCTGCGATGGAACTATGGCATGTTACCCTCCGAGAAACTCAGTTTCCTCCTCTGCAAAACGGGCTACATATGTCTATTGCAATGCACGATTGTAAAGATTAGACATCCTTGTGGCATGTAGCAAGCTTATAGGCTCTATCCGTGGTGTTGACATAGGTGGATGGAAAATCAGCCTTGCAATGTTCTTCCACATGTCATCAGATATTAGAAGGCTTACTTTAAAATTTTATTTTAAGTTCCTGGATACATGTGCAGAATATGCCGGTTTGTTACATAGGTAAACTTGTGCCTTGGTGATTTACTGCACCTATCAACCCATCACCTAGGTATTAGAAAGGGTTACTTTTAGTTATTGTGCTAGATGCAGGTATGCAAGCGTGAAGAAAACAACACAGTCCCTGCCCTCAGGATTTCTAAATAAGTTTCTGAAGAGTTTATTTGCAGGCTTTTTGGCTTTATTGACAATAAACAGGTGCAACGATAAATATTTAAGTGACAAATTGTGAGGAGTCCTACGAAGGAAAAACAAACAGCCAAGTTCCTCTGAAAGAACACCAGGGGAGTACTTTGGGATAGGGAAGTGGTTTTTTTTTTTTTTTAAGACCGAGTCTCTGTCGCCCAGGCTGGAGTGCAGTGGTGCGATCTCGGTTTACTGCAAGCTCTGCCTCCCGGCTTCAAGCGATTCTCCTGCCTCAGCCTGCCGAGTGGCTGGGATTACGGGCACCTGCCACCACACCCAGCTAATTTTTGTATTTTTAGTAGAGATGGGGTTTTGCCAAGTTGGCCAGTCTGTTCTCAAACTCTTCACCTCAGGTGATCCACCCTCCTCGGCCTCCCAGAGTGCTGGGATTACAGGTGTGAGCCACCGCGGCTGGCCTCGGGAAGTGATTTTTATGTTGAAATCTGGAGAATGATGGGACATTGCTTTCTAGGCTAAGAGGAGAGCAGCAAATGCTGTTAGGGGTTTGGTAGCTTTAAGGATTGGAAAAACCCAGAAGCTTGGTGAGAAGCCAAGCAGAGTTGCTGGAGAAGTGGGTGGGGGCAGATGGTGAGGCACCCTCAAGGCCTGGTATGGGTTTGATTTTCTGAATAAGAGGTTTCTGAAGGGTTTATTTAGTAAGATGTGTGCTGGAAAGAATGAGATGTAATTGGATGTACATTTTTAAAGGCCCACTGCTGGGATTAATGAATTGGAAGTGACTAGAGTGGACACAGGGAGACCACTAATACAGTTGGCCAGGCAGGAAATGACAGTGGCTTGTGGTTTTGGCAGATGGAGAGATTTGGATGGATTTGAGATGTCTTTGGGAGATGGAAGCCACTAGCCTTGTGATAGATTGGAGGTGGTCAGAATATGAGAGGATGGAATCATTCATGACTTCCTGCTGGTGGATGGAGGGGTGGGTCATTTATTGAGATGGGAAAAACTATGGAGATTTGGATTGATGATGAAAATGGAAAGCTCTTTGAGTGTGTTAAGTTTGAGATGGTTGTGAGACATCTCAACTGCTAACAGTTTACTAGTTCAGTGAATAATTACCTAAAAAGTTTCATTTTCTTCACAGAATCATTGATGTTATTTGTAGTCTACTTCCCTTTGCTTTACAGATAGGAGAATTAAGATGTGGAAAGATATATCTTGTACAAAGTCACATAATATATCTCATAAAATAGGTGAGTAGGTGGAATAAATGTGGGAAAGTATTGGATCCTTATGTTGCCTTGGAAATAGTTAATATTTCATACTTTGCCTTTTTATATAAAATGGCAAGTGCTAGCTCATTAGCTAGGAATTAGAATTTGGAAATAATAAAATATAACCAGAAAATTACAGAACTCTTGTTTATTGAAAGCTTATGTTGCTGCATTTTGTACTAATTTGGTATTAATTCCCAGTGAAAATCACTTTCCTTAAGAAAAAAAAAATATTGAAAGGTACTTTCCAAGAGAGAGTTGGGAAAAAGTGCTGAGGAAAACAGTCAAATCTTTAAGCAAAGCTCAACTTCTTTGTAGTTGTTTCAGCATTTCCTTAGTATCCTGTGGAATCTTGTGAGTCAGTGTCTGTAAAGAACCCAAACTTTGAAATTCATTGGACCTGGCATCAAACCCTTGCTTTTATCCCTTGTGAACGGTTTTGACCTTGGACAAATTACTGAAGCCTTTAGTTTGTTTCTTTTTGTGTTAACTGATGGTGGAGTTTGTTTTAGCTCTGTGCCTAGTGGATAAAATGGCAAATGTTACTTGTGTTGTTGCCCTTGTCAATTTTGGAGCTAGAAGAGAATTTATAATAATCTGCCCTGGACTCAGGCCTGTAAACCAGTACATTAGTTGCTATCTCCTTTCTATATATTAGGCAACTGGAGACCCAGAGACATTGTAGTATTATAGAATAATACAAGATTCTTGTTTCCGAGTGCAGTATTTCTTCTTTCATTGAAATAATTTAAAATAATGAAACTGTGTGGCCCTGGATCTATTTATTTGATGCCTCTGATAATCCATAAAGCTAAAAACAAAGAGGAGAGGCACAGTGGCTCACACCTGTAATCCCAGCATTTGGGGAGGCTGAGGTGGGAGGATTGCTTGAACTCAGGAGTTTGAGACTAGCCTGGGCAACACAGTGAGACCCCCATCTCTAAAACAAATAAAACAATTTGCTGAGTGTGGTGGTGCTGCCTATGGTAACGGCTGCTTGGGAGGCTGAGGTGAGAGGGTCACTTGAGCACAGAAGTTGAGGCTACAGTGAGCTATGATTGAGCCACTGCAGCCTAGCCTGGGCAACAGAGTGAGACCCTGTCTCTAAAAACAAAATAAGAAGAAAGAAAAGAATAAAGAGATAAAGAAAAAAATCAGAATATAGGACAATATTTACATACTAGGAAGTGAAGAAAATGAAGCTATTAATGCTCTAGATATAAATAATATATATTTTAATATTTTTGAAGTACCTTAAGCTAAATACAAAATGAGGTAGTTCATAAAAGAAATGGGGTTTGCTGCATTTGATTTTTAAGCTTCTCCTTTGGTTGCATGTTATGAAACTGGTCACTGTTTTTCTTAGACAAGGGTTCCTATCTCAAGTGCAAAAACTATTTTTTCCATTAGGACTATTTCTAATAAATAATAAATATTGTTTAATCAGAGTATTTTTATTAAATTGTTATTCATTTTAATCTCCTCCTAAATATGTGTGACAATTTTAGTTGTTATGAAAATAAAATGTAGGATTGAATGTATTAATATAATTATCTTTTTCAGTGTCTTCAAGTAGCTCTGGGTGCTAACTGGTTTATGTGGCAATGCTTGTAAAAAATCTTATAATGAATAAATTTTCTTGTTCTCTTTATAGAAATGGACCAATTTTGACAAGATATAGTACTGCAGTGTGCCTGATGGGATATATTCAGTCATGGCGTCCGAACTTTGTAAGACGATCTCTGTGGCAAGGCTGGAAAAGCACAAGAATTTGTTCTTAAATTATAGGAATCTGCACCATTTTCCATTGGAGTTACTGAAAGATGAGGGACTGCAGTACTTGGAGAGACTCTATATGAAAAGGAACTCCCTGACAACCTTGGTACAGTATTACATTACACTACAAAAAATTATTTATACGTGTGGTCCTGATCAAGATACATTTACATACCCTAAGGCATTCAGACCAAGACTTATATCCCCTGTTGTTATATATACGGTTAATATAAATGCACACACAGGGGTTTCTCATTGGCTATGAATTTGTTATCCAAGTTCGTGCAGTTATGAGGTTGCAAGGGAAGTTGTGAAGGAAAGCAAAATATTCACTCATGTATGACTTATCAAATTAGTACCCATTCAAAAACCTGTCTTCATTGAGCATATGCTTCTGTCCTGACTTGTAATTTGTTTGTATGTTAAGCTTCTCAGGTGATTCTTGGATATTACAGCATTCACTAGACCAGTTAAAAAGTAAACAAGAGAAAGACCAACAGTGCTTTTGAGATACAGGTATTAAAGGGAGAATGATTTGAAAATTAAAGCATTAAGAAAGGCACTAGGGAAGCTTAATGTAACTTTTGAGTGTTTTGAAAACAAAACCTTTATGATTGGCCTGTGAAAATCAAATGACTTTGAATTGGGCTAGCATACAATTTTTTGGAAAAAATTTTGCCACAAAGGCAACATTTAATTTGCTCTTTTTATGCTCTAAGAATAAGCACATAGTTTTTATTATAATCTGAATTGTATTACATATAAGATAAACTAAAAGTTTTTCAAAAGAATGTCCAAATCAAGCTTTTTATTCCCATTATTTATTGTAAAACTTGGACTCTGTATTAAATGGATTTACTTTGTGTGGCCTTTTCTGGTTATCACTTAACCTTATTTGAATCTTGTACTTGAATTCTAGTTCTTACTCATTTTAGATGATTTATGAAATCTTACTACTTTGTGAATTCACCCATTCTTCATTCCCTTCGCTATATTGGACTTTGCTAAATATCTGGAAAGTGTATCTTATTGGCTTCATGTACATGGCATGTTTTCCTGGAAAAGTTTTATTTAATCTGTGTACAATGCCTATAGTGGGTAGAAAGCATTGTAAAATTAGTTTATCTTTGCTCTGTCTGGAAGTAAATAGATAAGTATGTTTTGTTCTTTTGTGATTAGCATATTGGCATATATGTTGAATGCCTACTTATATTTCTGAGATTAGATTTTTCAGTTTTCCAACTTGGAAAATCTATATGCAGTTATAGGAATCCTTTTTTGCAAAGTCATCATCTCATGATATGAAACCATATTAGTATTTTTTTAGCCCTTTAATGAGAAGTGGTATAAGAAATATTTTGACAAGGATTATAGCCTAGATTTTCCCATGTTTGCTCTTTATGTATAAAGAAAAATTTGTGAGTGGATTACTTATTAACTATCTACCATAGCCCAATGGGGTAGACTTTGTTCAGAGAATTGACCTTTGCTTATAAAAGTTAAATTTGTGGGTGGACCATGCGGCTGGAGGTGTGACTATCAGCCCAGGAGTGAGAGGGTGGAGGCAGCTCTTGCAATCGAAAGGGACTTGAGACTCACCAGCCGCACGCCATGAAGGCCCTGTGGGTGCTGGGCCTCTGCCGTGTCCTGCTGACCTTCGGGTCGGTCAGAGCTGATGATGAAGTTGATGTGGATGGTACAGTAGAAGAGGATCTGGGTAAAAGTAGAGAAGGTTCAAGGACAGATGATGAAGTAGTACAGAGAGAGGAAGAAGCTATTCAGTTGAATGAATTAAATGCATCATAAATAAGAGTCCGAAAAGTTTGCCTTCCAAGCTGAAGTTAACAGAATGATGAAACTTATCATCAATTTGTTGTATGAAAATAAAGAGATTTTCCTGAGAGAACTGATTCTGAGGCTTTAGATAAGATAAGGCTAATATCACTGACTGATGAAAATGCTCTTTCTGGAAATGAGAAACTAACAGTCAAAATTAAGTGCGATAAGGTGAAGAATCTGCTGCGTGTCACAGACACTGGTGTAGGAATGACCAGAGAAGAGTTGGTTAAAAACTTTGGTACCATTGCCACATCTGGGACAAACAAGTTTTTAAACAAAATGACTGAAGCACAGGAAGATAGCCAGTCAACTTCCTGAATTGATTGCCCAATTTGGCGTTGGTTTCTATTCCACCTTCCTTGTAGCAAATAAGGTTATTGTCACTTCAAAACACAACAATGATACCCAGGACGTCTGGGAGTCCAACTCCAGTGAATATTCTGTAATTGCTGACTCAAGAGGAGACACTCTAGGATGGGGAACAACAATTACCCTCGTCTTAAAAGAAAAAGCATTTGATTACCTTGAATTGGATACAATTAAAAATCTCGTCAAAAATATTCACAGTTCGTAAACCTTCCTATTTATGTATGGAGCAGCAAGACTGAAACTGTTGAGGAGCCCATGAAGGAAGAAGCAGCAGCAAAAGAAGAGAAAGAAGAATCTTATGATGAAGCTGTAGTAGAGGAAGAAGAAGAAGGAGAAGAAGGAAGAAGAAGGAAGAAGAAGGAGAAGAGGAGGAGAAAAGAAACCAAAGACTAAAAACGTTGAAAAAACTGTCTGTGAATGGGAACTTATGAATGATATCAAACCAATATGGCAGAGACCATCCAAAGAAGTAGAAGATGAATACAAAGCTTTCTGCAAATCATTTTCAAAGGGAAGTGATAACACTGTGGCTTATATTCACTTTACTGCTGAAGGGGAAGTTACCTTCAAATCAATTTCATTTGGACCCACATTTGTTCCACGTGGCCTATTTGACGAATATGGATCTAAAAAGAGCAATTACATTAAGCTCTATGTGCGCTGCGTATTCATCACAGATGACTTCCATGATATGATGCCTAAGTACGTTAATTTTGTCAAGGGTGTGGTGGACTCAGATGGTCTCCCTTTGAATGTTTCGTGCAAGACTGTTCAGCAACATAAACTGCTTAAGGTGATTAGGAATAAACTTGTCCGTAAAACTCTGCACATGATCAAGATTGCTGATGAGAAATATAATGATACTTTTTGGAAAGAATTTGGTACCAACATTAAGCTTGGCGTGATTGAAGACCACTTGAATCGAACACGTCTTGCGAAACTTCTTAGGTTCCAGTTTTCTCATCATCCAACTGACATTGCTAGCCTACACCAGTATGTGGAAAGAATGAAGGAAAAACAAGACAAAATCTACCTCATGGCTGATCCAGCAGAAAAGAGGCTGAATCTTCTCCATTTGTTTAGCGACTTCTGAAAAAGGGTTATGAAGTTATTTACCTCACAGAACCTGTAGATGAATACTGCATTCAGGCCCTTCCCGAATTTGATGGGAAGAGGTTCCAGAATGTTGCCAAGGAACGAGTGAAGTTTGATGAAAGTGAGAAAACTAAGGAGAGTCATGAAGCAGTTGAGAAAGAATTTGAGCCTCTGCTCAATTGGATGAAAGATAAAGCCCTTAAGGACAAGATTGAAAAGGCTGTGGTATCTCAGTGCCTGACAGAATCTCCATGTGCTTTGGTGGCCAGCCAGTATGGGTGGTCTGGCAACATGGAGAGAATCATGAAAGCACAAGCGTACCAAACGGGCAAGGACATCTCTACAAATTACCATGCAAGTCAGAAGAAAACATTTGAAATTAATCCCAGACATCCACTGATCAGAGACCTGCTTCAACGAATTAAGGAAGATGAAGATGATAAAACAGTTTTGGATCTTGCTGTGGTTTTGTTTGAAACAGTAATGTTCCAGTCAGGATATCTTTTACCAGACACTAAAGCATATGGACATAGAATAGAAAGAATGCCTCGCCTCAGTTTGAACATTGATCCTGATGCAAAGATGGAAGAACCCAAAGAAGAACCTGAGGAGACAACAGAAGACGCAGAGCAAGATGAAGACAAAGAAATGGATGTGGGAACAGATGAAGAAGAACAAGAAACAGCAAAGGAATCTACAGCTGAAAAAGATGAATTGTAAATTATACTCTCACTGTTTGGATCCTGTGTGGAGAGGGAATGTGAAATTTAAGTCATTTCTTTTGGGAGAGACTTGTTTTAGATGCACCCCACCAGTCCCCTTCTCCCTGCACTGTTAAATGTGGGATTATGGGTTACAGGAAGAAGTGGGTTTTTTAGTTGAATTTTTTTAACATACCTTATTTGTACTATTTAACTGACTATTCTTGATGTAAAATCTTGTCATGTGTATAAAAATAAAAAAGATCCCCCCCCCCCCCCCCGCCAAAAGTTAAACTTTTGGTCTTGTCATAGTTTCTCAGCTTCAGTTTTTTATTTATGAAAATAAGAATCTACTGTCCAGTAAATTGATGTTTATAATAGCTTATGGTAATACATTTTATTTGTCTGCAACCTTTTTAATCATCAAAGATTAAATTGTTGTGTATGTTTATAATGATATATATATTTTACTTTAATTGTTTTCTCTTAGCTGGAATATTTGATTTATGTATATCAAAGAACTTTGTAAACTATAAAGTGCTGTACAGATATGAGGAGATGGTGGGAATAGTAGCAGTCATCCCAAAGCCTGCGCATTGCCTGATTATATCAGATACATGACAGCTTACAGCGCAGTTTTTGAAAACAGGTAAAACATTACTTTTCCTAGAGTGCTCAAAACTAGTAGTGATTCTTAGGGCTTTTGGAATATTTGCTGATGTTAAAATACAGTTCCTAAAAGAGAGTAATATGTACAGTTTTATTTACAACTGCAATACTGTCCAAAACTGGGGAAAACATTATTGAAAATGTATAGTATCTCGAATATATTATTGCTTAATTGGCCTTTTACTTACGGATTTTAAACAAGCTTGGGAATCTGTCAGTCACTTCCGTGTTCATGTTGTTTTAGTGTTTCTTAACATTGTTTTTTTTGTTTCCTGTTAACATTTTTGCCTGTGTGTTAAACGCCTTCTCTCAGCATTTTCCTCCTTTCCTCTCCCACCCCTCAGCATATTAGGCCTCTTGCTGAGAAGAGAAGTTGTCGCTAATACACAGCCTCTACACTTCTCCCTTTTGCCCCTCAGTTGCTCAGAGCCAT